CCATGCTCAACCATGCAGCTGATTTTATTACAGGCCTCCAAGAAGCCAACAAAAGACTCAAACTGGAGGTCCTTCAGCAAAGGGTCGTCTGTCGGTGTAGCAGGCATGATGAGGGTGCATTTGCATGCATGGAGAGCTGAGCTACGGAAAGCGCAGTCTCTCAATTGTTGTGTATCATAGTACTAGTCCTATGAGCATGTACAGTATCCCATGCAGTAACTATCAAGCACACTACATGGTTATGGTTGCATTGCGTTGGTGTCCCAGATCTAGAAGACCCATTTGTAATGCATTGCCACATGTATGACAGGGCACTGTTGTAGGCTCATTTTTACTAGGGTTAACAGTAGGAAAAGAAAGTGAGGTGGAATCTTTGGCTTGCGAAGGCTGTTGTAGGCTCATTTTTACTAGGGTTAACAGTAGGAAAAGAAAGAGAGGTGGAATCTTTGGCTTGCGAAGGGGCTCTTTGTCATGAGGGGACTTTCAGTGTGAGGTTGCTAGATATGAGGCGTAGGCACACGCCCCACTGTGGTTGCACTGCACAGTTTGTTTTAGGCGATTGATTACCAATGTGCATGAAAAGAAATTTGCAATTGAAATATCAGGATATCAACCCTCCATTAATGGTGAGGGGAATGGTCTTGTCAAAGTACCGTATGTTTGGACAAGGAATATGCCAAATCACAAACAAGATCATGTAAACTACTAAGGAATAAAAGTACAATATCTTGTTGTGGGGATTCTGCTTTGAGATGCCCACAACAGCAATTCGAATTGGCGAAATCAAGGAGCAGCAATGTTGGCCTTGGCCTTGGGTGCAATCTCCTCCCCATCAGCAGTCCCTGCTGATGATCCGCTAACCTGCAGCTCCAATAGGGTCGCTTCCCATTCCTTGGCAGGGCCCTGGAGAGTAAACACAGCAACAGAGTAAGACAAGTTGTACATTGTATTAATCGCTAATATGAGCACATCATGCATGTTGCATGGTTTGGGGATTGGGGAGGAAACAGGCAGAAACTCCGGAAGTAAAAAGCTTACCTTCCAGGAGAGGTCCTGAGCCATGCCGTTGAGGATCATTTGGTCGAAGGCTGGTGTGCCGTACACCTTGGCTGCCCTCTTCACTCCCGCCGTCAGTGACGCAATGTCCTCTGGGAACACCTCCTCGCACTGAATAGTGGTGGGAGGGACCAGAGGGAGGGAGAGGGAAGACGAGGCTGAGAAGTGTGCAGTATTCAGGACTGGAGCTTGGTTGGGTGTGAGGGCGAGGGTGACTGAACAGGTTGGCGAAATGATCAGGGAGGAAGGGAATCGGAAGCTGGGAGGCGAGGTGGACCAATCGAGTGGGCAGGAGGGGCAGAGGCGAGCCGGGTGGCGGCAGACAATCTCCTTTCTGGAAGAAAATGCGGGCCACGAACGAGCAGAAATGTAACATTAGCGCAACACGCAGGTTCACCCAATTTGGGCATTAGTACTCACGTCAACGTTGAACTCGCCAATTTGGAACCCTGTCACGCCATCCTTGACTGTGTCAACAAGACCGCCCGTGGAGGCCACCACTGGCACCTGGTGGGACGCAACAACGGACGGTGGGCGAGGCGGAAAGACAGACGAAAGAGGGAGAGGGTAAGTTTGGAGGTACTAAACCAAGCGGACGGAGAGATGGGGGAGGAGAGGATGTACCGGCATTGGCTCAGCATTGGTTTCCGCGTTATGTCACTACTTCGCTATGCTTGGCGTTTGGGCGAACAACTTGCAGAAGGAAAATGGGGGGGAGGGTCATGTACGCTAAAGGATGACTCACGGTGCCGTATTGCATGGCGTGCAGCTGAATCAGCCCGCAGGGCTCGAAGCGCGACGGCACGAGCATGAAATCCGCGCCAGCAGTCATGAGATGCGCGAGCGGCACGTTGAACTTGACGACGCCGCGCGCCTTGTCCGGGTATTTCACCTCGAGCTGCTCGAGCTGCTTCTCCAGGTACTTCTTGCCCGTGCCCAGCACGATCACCTGCACGTCCTCCTTGAGAATCTCCGGGAGGGCGGCGGAGAGGATGTCGGAGCCCTTCTGCTCCTCCAGGCGCCCGATGAAGGCGAAGAGCGGCACGTCTGGGCGCACGGGCAGACCCACCTCGGCTTGGAGGGACTCCTTGAGGAGCGGCTTGACCTCCAGGACCTGATGGGGGGTGGAGGAGGACGGTGAGATTCACGCGCGAAACAGATTCACCCTAAGAGTTGGGGAATTCTTAGCACTTCGCGATGAATCCGCTGGAGGTAGACGCGCAGACGAGATTCAGAAAGTGTGACCCCGTCCAAGATTTATGTTTCCACCCGTTAAATTCCCAGTATTTTATTCCTTGGGGCAAGATCTGAAACCAGGTCCTCTCGAGAGCACTCACGTTGGAGATGTCATAGGGCGTGTCGAGGTACTTGTCCTCGCTCGAGTCCCACTCCGTGGTGTCCATCCCGTTCACAATCCCGCGGCACCCCACCTCCCGGATCACATCGTCCAGCTCAACACCCTTGGCCGGCCCGGACTTTAACTCCGCAGCGTAGTTCGGGCTCACAGTGAGCACCAGATCCGCCTCCTGAAAACCAGCCTTGAGCCAGTTGATCTTGGGGCCCTTCACGGGCTTGTCGGACTCGTCGTAGAAGGCGAACGAGTCGCGGAAGCCCTCGGGGAGGTTAAGCAGGTTGAAGTCGTCGATGGGGAAGCGGCCCTGGTACGCGATGTTGTGCGTGCAGAAGGCCACCTTCGCGCTGGAGAACTGGTTGTACGGCTTGTAGAACGCCCGCAGGTAGCACGGCACGAGCGCGCTGTGCCAGTCGTTGGCTACGAACACCACATCCTCGCCATAAGGCCCCGAGTAGTACTCGCTGTTGTTCAGGTTCAGGATCCGCGGGGCCTCAATAGCGGCCTGGCAGAAGAGGCTGAAGCGGAGCTGGTTGTCTTGATAGTCGGTTCCGGCGACGGGGCCGTAGACCTTGCTGCCGGTCTTGCCGTAGACCTTGGCGAGGAAGAGCGGGTGGTCGATGAACACGCGGTCCACGCCGCGCTTGTAGCAGTGGAAGAAGCGGACCGTCTCCACGCGGTTGCCAACCTTCACCTGCAGGACGGAAGGAGATATGGCGAAGGCGTGAAAGGCGGAGTTAATGGCGGAACAGTCGTGGTTCGAATGAGTGAAAGTCGAGGAGGTGGAAGGCATCAGTGGAGGTTGGTAGAGAGGAGTCTCATGGCAAGCGAGTTTCTACTGTGCGAAAGGAAGGATAGAGACTCGAGCTTACGTCAAGGGTGACGTCAGTGTCCCAGGCATCCTTGTACTGGTCGTAGCGAGGGGAAACAGTCATCACACGGTGACCGCGGGCCTGCCAGGAAAAACAAGGAACACGAGCACCGGTCAGTTATGTAATCAGAAACAGTAGCAACAGAGCACGAAGGCAATATGACATCGAGCAATATGCGAAGATTAGAGATGAAATGAATGATTTTGCGTGCAAGTGATCTGCTTACCGCAAGAGCAGGAGGCAGACCACCCAACACGTCGCCAAGACCGCCAGTCTTGCTCCAGGGAGCGACCTCAGCCGACACGAAGACGAGCTTCATTCCAGGCTCCACCTCGCACTTGACCACTCCCTTGGCGGATCCAGCCTCCTCCTTGCCGGCTGACACCGCCTTAGCGACGGTTGAAGCCAGGGAAGGGGTCTGAGCCGCGACATTGCCTGGCATTGCCCGGCCGGATCGGAGACCCTCGAAGCCGGCAACCATGAGCTTGGAGGCATCGGCCTTCTTCTGAGAGCTGGAGATGCCATGGCTGAGTTGGCTGGTAACTCCACGGCTGATCGTGGCATTCATGGCGGTGGCCATTGTGAGAGATTTGGAAGAAGCAGAGAAGGCAAACGGGAAGTTTGGCCTTACGGATTTCACAAAAGTAGCTCGAATAACCTCGACGGAGGAGGTTTATACGAAGGGAGCTCCTGGGATATGGGTCTCCGAGGTTGAGAGATTCAGGATGATGAGAATGCTGAACCTTGAATTCCCTGAATGCAGAAATGCATGTCCCAGTCCGTGTCTTGTAGATTTGGCCTCCTCACAGTCAGGAAAGCGGCGACCGTGGGAGGAAACAGATCGACGGTCAATACAGGCGGAGCTAGGGAGATCGATGGTCGTACGAGCTGTCATGTTGTGGGGATGGACTTCGTCCGCGTCTGGGCCTGACTCCTCCTGAGCCCAGTGATCAAACACATCAAGGAAACGGTTGGCGATTGATCCTGCTGGAAATTCTCCAAGAAGATGGGAGATTGACTACTTACTGGTCCCAAATGACGGCCACGCAAGAGCCCAGGAATGACCTGGCTTGGCCCCGGGATGAGTCGGATATGGGGAGGCTATAAGAATCTAGTGGGAGGAGGTGTCCGGCTGACTGGAGTTCATAAGTGACAGTAACGCGAGCCACGCTATATTGAATAGTTTTACGAGTCGATTCTGAACACGTGGACTTCCGAATTCAAAATAGTGCCAGGTGCGAGCCGCATCCTGCCTTTTCTGAGAGCCTCACAGCAGCCCCCTAACCAGGAACGGTGGAGCTCCGCACATTTCTTCTTTCAACAGGGGTGCAATGATCTCAAGTTCCATTTTCATTCTGTGGGATCTCCATGATTTAAGGATGCACCGCTCATAAGCAGCTTCGATTGTCCGCGACTGTGAGTTGAAGTACATGATATCGTATGACACCATCGCAATGCAATGAAAAGCCAGACACAGGATCTTCAAGCGTGAGACGCGGGTCACTGTTTCTGATCCAAACTTTCGCGGGAAACTCCAACATGATGAACAGAAAGCAAATTCAAGCTTTTCGTAGCTACCAAGGTATAATATTTACCTGTCCCTTGACCATATCTTCTCCCGAGAGCTACGCTTGCAGCGTGCACTGCAACCTATATTACTTCTCGCACTGAAGTCCGCGCAAACCAACGGAGCGAAGCAAGGATCTCCGGACAGAGACGTCATGGCTGGTCATGGAAACACCTTTTTCGATGAGCAGTCCGGCCACTGGGACGACAAACCATTGCATCGCGAAATGGCCGCTAAGGCCGTGGAGCACCTTCTAGCCAATGTTCCCGTAAAGGAAGGCACGACCGTTCTGGAAGTTGGCAGCGGTACTGGGCTTTGCTCCGAGATGCTCGCGGCGAAAGGCGTCAAAGTTGTCGGTGTAGACACGTCCATCGGTAAGACTTGGTCTTTTGTTTCTGAAACCAATGATTTCTCATTCATTCGCGTGATACGTTGAGCCGAGGTTTAAGGAAGTTGGACATTGTAGACGCGTCACCGATGTGTGAATGCGTTTACAGAAGTAGCTTGTTGCGGGCCTGATATCTCCGCTTCAGAACGCCAGAAATCCGCATTGCTTTCAGCTCAGAGCTCCCGTGAAGGATGGAATTCACGCTCATTGCGATGTTCAAATGGACGTGACTTTGAAAGGCATTAATTTCCGGATTCCGCTTTCATTGTCCAGGCATGGTGAATGCGTTTAATGCCAAGGCGGAGAAGCTCGGTCTGGCCGACAAAATGAAGTCCGTTCAGATCATGCTTACCTCGGACAAGACCCCTCAACAGCAGCTTGGGGACCTGCTACCAGCAGAGGGATTTGATGTTGCCTTCTCCCATCTCACCTTCCACCATGTCCCAAGTGAGTTGCTCGTTTCAGCCACATTCTATTAGCCAACACATTTGAGACGTCTCAAAAGTCGTCTACCAGCAGAGGAATTCGATGTTGCCTTCTCTCGTCTCACGCTCCACCACTCCCTGAGTCAGTTGCTCGCTTTAACCACATGGTTAACTCCAGGTCTTCCATTGACAAAATTGATTACGGTTTTCGATTCTTGGAGTAAAGACATTTCACGTTGTCTGCTCGTTGATGAAACATTTGTCCACACCAACTTTCTCCTCATGCTGGCTCGGCTTCCTTGTTCACCAGGTATTCCTGAAACTCTTCTTGCCGTGATGAGCTGCCTGAAGGAGCACATGGGGGTTGTCGCCATTTCAGACTTCGAAGCAGAACCCCATGCAGCCGAATTTCACCCCTCCAACATCCATGCTGAGGTGGAGAAGCACGGGCTGGATGTGGGGGAGCTGGAAAGGGATATGAAAGCAGCAGGTCTACAAGAAGTGAAGGTGCTGCGGCCATTCAAGATTGACAAGGAGGTGGAGAGTGGCGGGTCCAAGAAGTTCCAGTTTATTCTTGGATTGGGCACACGCCCTTGAGAATCAGACACTGTACAGTTTGCATTGCTGTTGAGATTCAGCATTGATCAATCTTACTGACTCCAACATTCGTTTGCAGGGAAGTTCTGTGCTGTCACAAGGATCTGTACACACGAGCATTGGATTAAACAAGCAACAGCACCTCTGCACGGAAAAGCTAGCCAAAACAAAAAACTGTATGAAAGACAGCTGCTGAACAGTCAAAAGCAGGAGGGAATCTCCAGGTCATGCCAAAATTGTTGTCCAGCAACGGGACGGGCAAAGGCCCTGAAGTCCAAGGGCTAGAATCAAACAGGGGTGTCAAAGATGGTCTCGATGGTTGATTGGAAAAACTTTGACGCAGTTTGCACATTGCTGAAGGCATCCGTTATGTACTCCCTGCCAAACAAAATGCAGGTGTTAAGGCCAGGGACAGCGGGTCTCACAAGATTCCGTGCTTGAACAAGCCAAGGTCTTGTCTGATTCTGGTCGAGGTCAGTGAAGGTGACATGGCTGCCGGTAGACACGACTCAGCAGACCCCCTACTGGTACGGTACGACAAGGATGGTTGGAAAATTGCAAGTACCATGTGGGAATGGCTTGTTCCTACTGCCAGTCACCGCTACAAGGCGAATATGCACATGATGATAACTTATTGTAAAAGGCTAGAGGGACATGGCTATGAAGCAGCGGAGACACGGAAACTCACCGGGGAGGGGGGTCGGAGCCCTGAGCCTCGTCCAGCAACCCATGCAGCTGTCTGAACGACCTGGTCATGTTGACGGGTTAAGAAAGACGTTAGCCACCAAAAGGAAACAAAAAGAGGAGGAGGAAATGGAAGAAGTTCAGTGGGAGGTTTAATTTATTTAAAAAAGAAAGCGTGGAACTAGCCGCAGGATTTGACAGGTTTCGAAAGTGAGGTCATACAGAGTTCCTATAAGCCGCCCCAACCCTCATCCATTTACACCTCGCTCCCTCCCCCCTACCCCACACTTCTCCCCCCCTCTTGCCCACCAGATGAGGTCCAGCAGAGCCCCCTCCCCTAGCACGAGCGCCAGGTCGTCCTTTGAAACGTTTCAAGAAAGCTCATCCGTCTACATCCTACTCCCCCCCCCCTACCCCACACTTCTCGCCCCCCTGCCACCCACCAGATGAGGTCGAGAAGCGCCTCCTCACCCAGCACGAGCGCCGGGTCGTTCTTATCCAGAAGAGAGGCAGCATTCTTGAGGATAAGCTTGAAGGTGCAGAGCTGTGGGATAGATGGCGGGTGGGGGGAATGGACGCAGAGCGGGTGGGAAGCTTATGGCATCCAACAGTCATGAGGTCTAGCAGCACCTCCTTCCCCAGCACGAGCGCCGGGTCGTTTTTATCCAGCAGAGAGGCAGTGTTTTTGAGGATGAGCTTGAAGGTGCAGAGCTGGAAGACGGATGGCGGCGAAGGGGGAGAGGGGCAGATTGATGCAAAGACGTCTGATTTGATGCGCCTCACTACTTATCCAGCAGAGAGGCAGCGTTCTTGAGAATGAGCTTGAACGTGCACAGCTGGAAGAAGGATGGTGGGGTGGGGGGGTTTAGATGCAGAAACGTTGAATGTGATGCGAAACACAACTAATTCAGCCGAGTGACGGCGTTCTTGAGGATGAGCTTGAACGTGCACTGAGGACGGAAGACGGGGTGGGGCGGTGGACGCAAAGAGGATTTGAAGGCTATAACACCCAACGCTGACGAGTTCAGAGGCTATCCTTGCATGGTATTGGTGGCATGGTGTGGGTTGAGCATTATTGCTTACCATTGTCTCATGAGAGATGCTCATGAGAAGGCTTCCTCCATCCCATAAGAAGGCATCCACAATCCCTTGTGCCTTGTACATTCCAAAAATTGCCACACTTCGTGTATCCTCCCAACCTCTATACTTTCTTACCTCTACCCCCTGCACTGCTACGCCCCTTACCTCTACAATTCTCTATATACCCCTCACACAATCCTCTATATACCCCTCACTGCTACAACCCTCACCCCTACACCCCTAACTGCTTCGTCACCCCCACGCCCTTCACCCCTACGCCCCTCACTACTACAACCCTCAGCTCGACGCCTCTCACCTCCACGCCCCTCACTGCTCACACCCCTCACCTCTACGGCCTTCACTGATACGCCCCTCACCTATACGCCCCTCAACTTTACGCCCCTTGACTTTACACCCTCAACTGAACGACCCTCACCCCTATGCCCCTCACCTGTGCGCCCCTCACCTCTGCGCCTCTCACTGCTACACCCTCACCTCCACGCCAGGAGTAAAGCCAGGGGCGAGGCAGTCAAGGGAGGCTTCCCGCACTCCTGCCTGCACTGACGCCAGCTCAGATGGGGTAGTGGAGGCCTCTGCAATGAAAGAGTGGATAGGACGGAGAGAGGGAGGAAAGAAGACGGTGTGATGGATGGCGGAAGAGAGGCTGTCAAGGGATGGTTCCTGCAATCTTGCCTGCACCGATGCCAGCTCAGAGGGGGTGGTGGAGCCCTCTGCAGTGAGTGAATGGAGGGTAGGGCAGGAGGAGGGAGGGGAGAGAGAGGAGAGGATAAACAAGAGGGTGTGATGGATGGTGGAAGAGAGGCAGTCAAGGGAGGGTTCCCGCACTCTTGCCTGCACCGATGCCAGCTCAGAGGGGGTGGTGAAGGCCTCTTCAATGAGTCCGTGGAGATGGGGGAATGGGAGCGGAACGGGGAAAGCGGGGGGCGAGAGAGAGAATAGGGTGCGTTGGCCTGTGCCTCTCTTCCTTGCGAGTGATTTCTGAGAATTCTCAAAAATCACTTGCGTTGGCCTGTGCCTCTCTTCCCGCACTCCTGTCTGCACTGACGCCAGGTCAGACGTGGCACTGGAGTGAGAACGGGGAGTGGAGAGAGAGGGAACGGAGAGAGGAGGAAGAGGCAAACTCAGCCTTGGCAGAAACAACGCGCGCAGAGGAGAGCACGAGAGGGTTGAGATTTGACCCGACTCACAGAATCCACCAACTCACGCACCCCTTAATGGACTTCACACGCACCAAGTCACACAGCGAGCTAGGTACTCACCGAACTCAGCCTTGGCAGCTGCAAGGCGCGCGGACGAGACCATGAGGGGGTTGAGGAGAAACTGCATCGACTTGCGCTTCTGCGCCTTGAGCCACTCCTTGGGACCCGCTGGTGGGGTGGGGAAGGATTGGGGGAGGCAGGGAGAAGTGTGAGGTGAATCAGGGAATGAAGGGGTGCGGAAGTGGGGAGAGGGGGAAACCAGAAGAAAGGAACCAGGAGGTGTTTGAGGCACCCAATGGCCTTGTGCTTCTTCAAGCTGCACTACTCCGTCGGCGCAGTGGTCGAAGCGTGGGGGAAGGGCGGATAGGGCGGATACGGCGGAAGGGCGGAGTGGGCGGAAGGGGGTAGAAGGCGGAAAGGGCGGAAAGGGCGTAAAGAACGGAAAGGCTGAGAGGGCGGAAAAGGTGGAGAGGATGGAGAATGAAAAATGCGAAGGGTCAATAAAGGGTCCAAGCTCCATCGCTCCTACAAAGCACGCACCCAGGCCGAAGGCTTGCGCGCTTTCAGGGGCGGCTGTCGCGGCAATCCCTAGGCTCAGTGCCACAGCCGCAGCGGCGGAAGCAGCTGGAGCGAGGAGAACTGACCGACGACTCACACCCGCCGTTTCCGCTGCTGCTGCTGCTGTTGCGGGAGAATGCTCTTGCGACGAAGGGTCAGAACCTCTGCCGTTGACAGAATCGTCAACGGACGACCTTATCGCCAATGACCTTCTCGAAAAGGCTGCTCGACCAGCGGCATTGGGAGTTGCTGGCTGACGTGTCAGCGCGTGCTGCACGGGGACGCGGCATTGGCTGGTAGCCGATCCGAGGAGAGAGGCCATGGCGTCAAAGCGTCCGTGAAATGCGGGCGGGAGCGCGAAGGTGGTGGGTGTGTGACCAGTTATTCTAGAGCTCAGCTCAGAAATAAGCCTTCCAGAGGATTCGCCTTCAGGTGAGACAAGGAAGCTGGTTTGGATTGGATGGAGGCTTGCGCAATTTGATCAGGGAGAGGGGAAGTGAAAAAAGTTTTCCTTCGAATATTTCGGAGGGGTCAGTCGAAATGTATGTGTACAAATACTGTCACTGTACCATCAACATTTGAACACGAATTTGGTGCTGCCCGCTCGGATTTCCAAGGACCCCTCGTCCGTAGTTCAAGCAGCTCAGGTTTGGAGGAGAGGAGGGCAATCAATCCTTGCAACAAGCAGCGGGACGATCGGAATGCTGAGCAGCGCCGCGTGTGGTGGGCTTTAGCCTGTACGTGTACAAATCACCCTGAGGGTGTGCCTTTCACGTCGCGTGGTAGTGGAATCCCAAGCACCCATCTCGGCGCCGTCATTAGCATGCAATCAGTACGCGCTCTCGCCCTTCCTCTGCCCGCCTTTTCCTATTGCTAGTCACGCGCGAATCTGATCATTTGCGCACTCTCTGAGAATATTGAAGGCCACAATTACCCTGCGATCGATGACCATTTCTCCCATACAGCTTCTTTTCCCGGTTGCAATATCTCGCTCGCCCCGCGTTCTCTCGCTTGAGTTTGCGCACGTCGCTCACGCACTGCCTCTCTCTCCTCATACTCACGCTCACGGGAAACCCTGACGTCACATCCAATCAACCACTCACCCTAATATCCGCACACTCACAGTCGCTCACCCTCTCCACACTCACACGCTCTGCTGCCCACTTCTGTTCGCAGTAAAGGCGCTTAGCTGACAACGCAGAGCGCTGCTTAATCCACGCGAGGTCACGCTGACAGTTCACAATCCCCCCTTCCCCTTCCCCTCCCCTCCCCCTTTTGCCCGCCTTTCCCCCCCATCAAATCCCAACCTTCATTCCCATGCTTCCCCCCACTCCGCCACTCAGGCCCCGTTGTCTCCCTCCTCTCTTTCCCCCCTCCACTCCCCTCCCTTCCCCCTTTCACCCCCGTTATTTCCAGGCAAAACTGCTGACGAGGCCGTGGATCGCCCACGTGGCAGAATCTCCAAGCGCAACAATCGCCCACCTCAGGATCCGTTCCTCCCACTTCCTCCAATCAGCCCTCAGGCCGTCCCCTCTCTCCACTCTATCTCGACCGTTGATCCCGATTCAAGCCCAGATCTCACCGTCCATCAGCCCAATCCGCAGCATCAGCTGCTACAGTCTTCTCCGACATCCCCAAGGCTTGCATTTGCTGAGCGCTGGGATGGAGCCATTGGCGTGTAGGGGGCTCAGCTCACTGCCTACCACCTCCTGTGCTAGCATGAAAGGCATGAGCAGTAGCAGAGGGATTGGCAGAGGCATCAACAGAGGCATTGGCAGCGGTGGTGGTTTAGGAGGCCAATTTAGCAGCAGCACTCAGTCGGCTGCATATTCTTCATCGCTGTCGTTGCTAGAGAATCTTCGCAGCAACTTCCACTCGAATAGCTTAAACGAACACCACCAGTCACTGACGAGGTTTCAGGGGTTAGGGTTTACGACCACCAGGCTTCAATACACGGGGTTTAGCACGAGAGGAAGCAGCGGTGGGTTTATTTCCCCACCAGCAGCAGCACTCGGCTCGACAGGCAACCGCCTTCTAGCCGCTGCAGCTGGCTGTGATAAACCCTTGCTGACCCGCAAACTGACGTCCTTCTCCTTCTCCAGCAGTTCCCGCCCTCCCAAAGACTTGGATGCAGAGAGGGATGGGCAGGGGCACGGGCAGCAGCAGGGGCAGGGGCAGAGGCAGGTTGAGGTGCAGGCGGTGAGGGGAACGCAGGGGATGGGGGAGGAGGCGCAGGGGGGTGGGGAACAGCGGCAGGGGCCGAGGAGAGCGGTTGTGAGCGGTGCTGGAAAGGGGAAGGAGGTGGGGGGTTTGGAGGGAGGAGAGGGAGAGGAGGAGGTGGAGAGCGGGAGTGGGGGAGAGAGTGGGATTGAGAGTGGTCTTGAGAGTGGTCTTGAGAGTGGTCTTGAGAGTGGTCTTGAGAGTGGGCTTGAAAGTGGGATCGAGAGCGGGAGTGAGAGCGGGAACGAGAGTGGGAGTGAGGGAGCGAGTGGGAGAGGGGCAGGGAGCGGCAATGGGGCGGTGGTGGTGGCAGGGGCAGCGGGCAAGGTGGAGGAGGTGGAGCTGCATGAGGAGGCGGTGCAGTCGTATGTGTCGTATGCCATGTCCGTCATTGTCGGCCGCGCCCTGCCTGACGCCAGGGATGGACTCAAACCCGTGCATCGGCGCATCCTGTGAGTGTGTGTGTGTGTGTTTATAGAGCCAGTGAGAGATCAGAGGGCAATGGGCGGTGCAGTCGTATGTGTCGTATGCCATTGTCCGTCATTGTCGGCCGCGCCCTGCCTGACGCGCGTGACGGGGTGAAACCAGTGCACAGGCGAATCCTGTGAGTGTGTGTTTCTAGAGCCAGTGAGAGGTTAGAGGGCAATGGGCGGTGCAGTCGTATGTGTTGTGTGCCATGTCTGTCATTGTCGGCCGCGCTCTTTCCAATGCTAGAGATGGATTCTCAAGCCAGTGCACTGCCGCATCCTGTAGCTGCCTTTGTTAGGCAGCATGCCAGTGTCTGCCGCATTCTGTGAGTGATGTTTTCCTGCTTTCCCCTGCTACGCTATCCACAAGCTGGGCCTGGCGTCATCTTGATGTCACTCTGGAGTCATCCTGTCGTCATCTGATGCTGTTCGTCCTACCGTCCCTGTCCACCTGAAACCCCCCCCTCCTCCCCCCCCAACTGCGTCTGCCTCCCCTCCCCCAGCTATGCCATGCACGAGTTGGGCCTGGCGTCATCCAAGCCTTTCCGCAAATCAGCCAGAGTTGTGGGAGAGGTGCGTCTGTCGGCCTTTCTGCCTGCCTAACAGCCTCCTCCTCCTGCAGTTACTTCTTCTGCTCCTGCCGCTGCTGCTCTGCTCTTGCTGCTCCCACTGTGTCTGCTGGTTTTATTTTTCCATTTTATGCTGGTTCGTTGGTCTGCTTATCAGTCGTTCTCCCGAAATCTCAGTTTTACCTGTCTCGTTAAGCATCTCTGCCCTGGCCACTTAACCAGCCCTATTTCCCAGCCAAACGATCACATCTCACCAGTGCTGGGGCAGTTTCCACCCACACGGCAATGCAGCTGTCTATGACGCCCTGATGCACGCATGGATTCTCTCTGCAACGTGACGCTGTCTCTCTTGCTCTGTCTCTCATCCCCCTTGCGCCCACTCCCATCACATCCCACAGGTGCTAGGCCGCTTCCACCCACACGGTGACACAGCGGTGTATGACGCCCTAGTGCGCATAGCACAGGACTTCTCTCTCCGCGCTTAGCCTGTGCTATCTTGCCCCTCCCATCTCCTTTGAGTAATGTGCATCCCACAGGTGCTAGTCCGATTCCATCCACATGGCGACACAGCAGGACTTTCCCATTGTGTTCCGCTGAGCCTTTTTTTGAGGCGCCTCAAAAGTCTTTCCCATTGTGTTCCGCTGAGCCTTTTTTTGAGGCGCCTCAAAAGTCTTTCCCATTGTGTTCCGCTGAGCCTTTTTTTGAGGCGCCTCAAAAGTCTTTCCCATTGTGTTCCGCTGAGCCTTTTTTTGAGGCGCCTCAAAAGTCTTTCCCATTGTGTTCCGCTGAGCCTTTTTTTGAGGCGCCTCAAAAGTCTTTCCCATTGTGTTCCGCTGAGCCTTTTTTTGAGGCGCCTCAAAAGTCTTTCCCATTGTGTTCCGCTGAGCCTTTTTTTGAGGCGCCTCAAAAGTCTTTCCCATTGTGTTCCGCTGAGCCTTTTTTTGAGGCGCCTCAAAAGTCTTTCCCATTGTGTTCCGCTGAGCCTTTTTTTGAGGCGCCTCAAAAGTCTTTCCCATTGTGTTCCGCTGAGCCTTTTTTTGAGGCGCCTCAAAAGTCTTTCCCATTGTGTTCCGCTGAGCCTTTTTTTGAGGCGCCTCAAAAGTCTTTCCCATTGTGTTCCGCTGAGCCTTTTTTTGAGGCGCCTCAAAAGTCTTTCCCATTGTGTTCCGCTGAGCCTTTTTTTGAGGCGCCTCAAAAGTCTTTCCCATTGTGTTCCGCTGAGCCTTTTTTTGAGGCGCCTCAAAAGTCTTTCCCATTGTGTTCCGCTGAGCCTTTTTTTGAGGCGCCTCAAAAGTCTTTCCCATTGTGTTCCGCTGAGCCTTTTTTTGAGGCGCCTCAAAAGTCTTTCCCATTGTGTTCCGCTGAGCCTTTTTTTGAGGCGCCTCAAAAGTCTTTCCCATTGTGTTCCGCTGAGCCTTTTTTTGAGGCGCCTCAAAAGTCTTTCCCATTGTGTTCCGCTGAGCCTTTTTTTGAGGCGCCTCAAAAGTCTTTCCCATTGTGTTCCGCTGAGCCTTTTTTTGAGGCGCCTCAAAAGTCTTTCCCATTGTGTTCCGCTGAGCCTTTTTTTGAGGCGCCTCAAAAGTCTTTCCCATTGTGTTCCGCTGAGCCTTTTTTTGAGGCGCCTCAAAAGTCTTTCCCATTGTGTTCCGCTGAGCCTTTTTTTGAGGCGCCTCAAAAGTCTTTCCCATTGTGTTCCGCTGAGCCTTTTTTTGAGGCGCCTCAAAAGTCTTTCCCATTGTGTTCCGCTGAGCCTTTTTTTGAGGCGCCTCAAAAGTCTTTCCCATTGTGTTCCGCTGAGCCTTTTTTTGAGGCGCCTCAAAAGTCTTTCCCATTGTGTTCCGCTGAGCCTTTTTTTGAGGCGCCTCAAAAGTCTTTCCCATTGTGTTCCGCTGAGCCTTTTTTTGAGGCGCCTCAAAAGTCTTTCCCATTGTGTTCCGCTGAGCCTTTTTTTGAGGCGCCTCAAAAGTCTTTCCCATTGTGTTCCGCTGAGCCTTTTTTTGAGGCGCCTCAAAAGTCTTTCCCATTGTGTTCCGCTGAGCCTTTTTTTGAGGTGCCTCAAAAGTCTTTCCCATTGTGTTCCGCTGAGCCTTTTTTTGAGGCGCCTCAAAAGTCTTTCCCATTGTGTTCCGCTGAGCCTTTTTTTGAGGCGCCTCAAAAGTCTTTCCCATTGTGTTCCGCTGAGCCTTTTTTTGAGGCGCCTCAAAAGTCTTTCCCATTGTGTTCCGCTGAGCCTTTTTTTGAGGCGCCTCAAAAGTCTTTCCCATTGTGTTCCGCTGAGCCTTTTTTTGAGGCGCCTCAAAAGTCTTTCCCATTGTGTTCCGCTGAGCCTTTTTTTGAGGCGCCTCAAAAGTCTTTCCCATTGTGTTCCGCTGAGCCTTTTTTTGAGGCGCCTCAAAAGTCTTTCCCATTGTGTTCCGCTGAGCCTTTTTTTGAGGCGCCTCAAAAGTCTTTCCCATTGTGTTCCGCTGAGCCTTTTTTTGAGGCGCCTCAAAAGTCTTTCCCATTGTGTTCCGCTGAGCCTTTTTTTGAGGCGCCTCAAAAGTCTTTCCCATTGTGTTCCGCTGAGCCTTTTTTTGAGGCGCCTCAAAAGTCTTTCCCATTGTGTTCCGCTGAGCCTTTTTTTGAGGCGCCTCAAAAGTCTTTCCCATTGTGTTCCGCTGAGCCTTTTTTTGAGGCGCCTCAAAAGTCTTTCCCATTGTGTTCCGCTGAGCCTTTTTTTGAGGCGCCTCAAAAGTCTTTCCCATTGTGTTCCGCTGAGCCTTTTTTTGAGGCGCCTCAAAAGTCTTTCCCATTGTGTTCCGCTGAGCCTTTTTTTGAGGCGCCTCAAAAGTCTTTCCCATTGTGTTCCGCTGAGCCTTTTTTTGAGGCGCCTCAAAAGTCTTTCCCATTGTGTTCCGCTGAGCCTTTTTTTGAGGCGCCTCAAAAGTCTTTCCCATTGTGTTCCGCTGAGCCTTTTTTTGAGGCGCCTCAAAAGTCTTTCCCATTGTGTTCCGCTGAGCCTTTTTTTGAGGCGCCTCAAAAGTCTTTCCCATTGTGTTCCGCTGAGCCTTTTTTTGAGGCGCCTCAAAAGTCTTTCCCATTGTGTTCCGCTGAGCCTTTTTTTGAGGCGCCTCAAAAGTCTTTCCCATTGTGTTCCGCTGAGCCTTTTTTTGAGGCGCCTCAAAAGTCTTTCCCATTGTGTTCCGCTGAGCCTTTTTTTGAGGCGCCTCAAAAGTCTTTCCCATTGTGTTCCGCTGAGCCTTTTTTTGAGGCGCCTCAAAAGTCTTTCCCATTGTGTTCCGCTGAGCCTTTTTTTGAGGCGCCTCAAAAGTCTTTCCCATTGTGTTCCGCTGAGCCTTTTTTTGAGGCGCCTCAAAAGTCTTTCCCATTGTGTTCCGCTGAGCCTTTTTTTGAGGCGCCTCAAAAGTCTTTCCCATTGTGTTCCGCTGAGCCTTTTTTTGAGGCGCCTCAAAAGTCTTTCCCATTGTGTTCCGCTGAGCCTTTTTTTGAGGCGCCTCAAAAGTCTTTCCCATTGTGTTCCGCTGAGCCTTTTTTTGAGGCGCCTCAAAAGTCTTTCCCATTGTGTTCCGCTGAGCCTTTTTTTGAGGCGCCTCAAAAGTCTTTCCCATTGTGTTCCGCTGAGCCTTTTTTTGAGGCGCCTCAAAAGTCTTTCCCATTGTGTTCCGCTGAGCCTTTTTTTGAGGCGCCTCAAAAGTCTTTCCCATTGTGTTCCGCTGAGCCTTTTTTTGAGGCGCCTCAAAAGTCTTTCCCATTGTGTTCCGCTGAGCCTTTTTTTGAGGCGCCTCAAAAGTCTTTCCCATTGTGTTCCGCTGAGCCTTTTTTTGAGGCGCCTCAAAAGTCTTTCCCATTGTGTTCCGCTGAGCCTTTTTTTGAGGCGCCTCAAAAGTCTTTCCCATTGTGTTCCGCTGAGCCTTTTTTTGAGGCGCCTCAAAAGTCTTTCCCATTGTGTTCCGCTGAGCCTTTTTTTGAGGCGCCTCAAAAGTCTTTCCCATTGTGTTCCGCTGAGCCTTTTTTTGAGGCGCCTCAAAAGTCTTTCCCATTGTGTTCCGCTGAGCCTTTTTTTGAGGCGCCTCGAAAGTCTTTCCCATTGTGTTCCGCTGAGCCTTTTTTTGAGGCGCCTCGAAAGTCTTTCCCATTGTGTTCCGCTGAGCCTTTTTTTGAGGCGCCTCGAAAGTCTTTCCCATTGTGTTCCGCTGAGCCTTTTTTTGAGGCGCCTCGAAAGTCTTTCCCATTGTGTTCCGCTGAGCCTTTTTTTGAGGCGCCTCAAAAGTCTTTCCCATTGTGTTCCGCTGAGCCTTTTTTTGAGGCGCCTCAAAAGTCTTTCCCATTGTGTTCCGCTGAGCCTTTTTTTGAGGCGCCTCAAAAGTCTTTCCCATTGTGTTCCGCTGAGCCTTTTTTTGAGGCGCCTCAAAAGTCTTTCCCATTGTGTTCCGCTGAGCCTTTTTTTGAGGCGCCTCAAAAGTCTTTCCCATTGTGTTCCGCTGAGCCTTTTTTTGAGGCGCCTCAAAAGTCTTTCCCATTGTGTTCCGCTGAGCCTTTTTTTGAGGCGCCTCAAAAGTCTTTCCCATTGTGTTCCGCTGAGCCTTTTTTTGAGGCGCCTCAAAAGTCTTTCCCATTGTGTTCCGCTGAGCCTTTTTTTGAGGCGCCTCAAAAGTCTTTCCCATTGTGTTCCGCTGAGCCTTTTTTTGAGGCGCCTCAAAAGTCTTTCCCATTGTGTTCCGCTGAGCCTTTTTTTGAGGCGCCTCAAAAGTCTTTCCCATTGTGTTCCGCTGAGCCTTTTTTTGAGGCGCCTCGAAAGTCTTTCCCATTGTGTTCCGCTGAGCCTTTTTTTGAGGCGCCTCGAAAGTCTTTCCCATTGTGTTCCGCTGAGCCTTTTTTTGAGGCGCCTCAAAAGTCTTTCCCATTGTGTTCCGCTGAGCCTTTTTTTGAGGCGCCTCAAAAGTCTTTCCCATTGTGTTCCGCTGAGCCTTTTTTTGAGGCGCCTCAAAAGTCTTTCCCATTGTG